AAAAGGTAAAGTTAATTATCAAGCTTGATGATCTTATATATAGCCACAAAGTGAAGTAAATCACATCATGTTATAATGGGCCTCAAGGGAGCGATGTCATGTTTTAAATCCACGAATTGGAGATCAGCATAGAAGTATTTCGGTACTAACCAACTCACTAACCGCACCTATTGCAGAGCAATGACCCTTTGGGTCTACCCTTAAGCTAAATTATTTATCCACGATTGCTAGCGAAGATCAAGCGATCCTGGCTCATACTAAATAATTTGTAAATGAACAGATCGCCAAATTCGAAATGAGATTTCATAAAATCTGCAAACTAATTTTTTTAATCATGAGGGTGTTTAATGTATAAAAATGAGCTAAGTATAAAAAAAAACTTATCTGGTTATACTTTATATTAACACATACAAATCTAATCACATAAATTTTACTCTTGAATATGTCTACCTCTACTTCCACATCAACTGCTCCTATTAATAACATCAAAATTCTTGCATATAATATTCTAAAAACCTTCAAGGATGGCATTATTAAGGGTAAAAAAATTACAGAACTAAGGCCATGCTCCAAATATGATAATGATATTTTAATATCTCCTCTCAAAGCATTCACATACCTAGCATGCAGACACCTTTTTCATAGACTCTGTATCGAAAAAAAGCTTTTACTTACTGTTCCAAACACATGTCTATTCTCGGGTTGTGGAGAGAATGTGGAAATATTAAATCAAGCCAATCCTCTTGGTACTGTTTCCAATTTGCTGTTTACTAATCCCAAGGAGGCCTCCCAATCAACTGAAATTTCACCTTTGATAGGCGAAACATTCGTCCTATCTTCACCACCTATACGGATGGAAGGGATGGAAGAGATCGAGAATACAGCAACCCAACAAGTCAAAAGTAATTTGAGGTGTGCCAAATGTTCTGAAGATCTTTCTTCATGTCTCCTATCTATAGGCTTTCTTCGGTTCTCTCCCCAACTTCAAGGCCCCTTGAAACCACTCATATACTTAACCTGCAAACATATCATCCATTACAATTGTATCGATAATCCACAAAAACTATGTCCTATATGTCCATCAACTAATATGGAACCAGAAGAGGAAGAAGAAATGAGTGTTGATGGCGAAGAACAACCTGATACCAGCAGTAAAAAATGTTCTAATGAAAGTATGGACGTCAACTCATCTACACCCAAGAAGAAGGCAAAGAAAGCAGTTAGAAGAGAAGATTCGCCCATTTTGAAAAAGCTTATCAAGGAATTGCCACTTTAATTCCACAGCAAAGCTCTTCTGGTAGTATTATTTTTCTACAGACATTCCCTGATATAGATATTAGCTCGGTTAATTTTCGTGAACTAGATAATAAGATCATCAATGCCGAAGATGGTAATAAAAAAACTATTCTAGAAGTGATTCATGCATATTATTATTTTGGGAAAGGGTATAGTTTATAGTTTGACTATTATGAAAAAACATATAGTAAGGATACGTCCAATTCTCTAGTTAATGATAAAATTCAGGAGCACTTTCCAGACCAGGACAAAGTTTCAGAGGCTAATCTTAGAAAAAGGAAAGAAAGTGCAATAAAAATCTTTAAACTCTTTGATGGGGTTGGAGGAGAAGGAAAGATATATTGTATTAAGTCTTTTTCTGTGTCAACTATTTCGAGACTGGGCGTGAATGATATTGATTATATAAAAGCTAAGTGAGCTAATGAAATTTACTGCGTCAAATTTTATTCAAGTGTGGGTCACAGCTACCGAAAATTTTCTGATTTTGATGAATATCAAATTTTTACTCAACTGTGACCGCCTGGTCACACTTGCCGAAGTTTTAACATTATCTAAACATGCTTATCGTTTCTATAAATAAAGTCAATGTATACGCTTATCAATTATTTTTAAACTCATATACTCCTATAAATGTTACTGCTTAATGGCTTACCTTTTTTTTCCTCATAAAATTCTCCTGCCTTATGAGGCTTATAACAAGATAGGGCATAAATGCAAATACACTAATTACAGGTTTGTACACACATATAAAAAAAAATAACCACGTGTATATTATTTTTTCTATTAATATACGAATGTGGAATAATACAAATAAAAGAAGTCGAAATTATATCGAAAAGTAGCATATCTTTAAAGGGTGGAAGCACGGGTATAAGGTTTGTGACGAATGCAATCATCATTCACACCTATATTGCAAAACCTGCAAAAAAGTAGCAAATGGAATATATAAGTAGTGTGAATGTGAAAATTTTTGAATGATTAACGTGTTAGAATAAATTCCATATATAAAATTTATCTGTATCACTTTCGTTATGCATAACTAATTTGTGAGACAGGGCTAGTGTTTCAACCCGGGTATATCCGGGTTGTGATTATGATCACCCGGGTAGACTTGGACGGGTTGACCCGCGGGTCAACCTGTGGGTTACCCCGTGGGTTACCCATAGTGTGCAAACACTTGCAAAAATTGACCAAATTGATATTTAATTTGGGCGTGATTTATATTTTTTTGTGAATGCATTCTAA